TGTAGACTTTCTTCTTCGATAGTTTCAAGATGGTTTAACTTGATGTCAAATTGATTGAATTGTTAGGACTTTTTGCTCAAGTCCCTCACATTACTAGCACCAGAATTGAAGTTTTGTTTCAACAGTCCTCTGCGCACGTGGCGGAATTTAAGTGAAGTCGCGCATCGTTGTCACTTAGTATGCATTAAAATTAATATTAGTCAGTTGTCGTCCTCACGTGAATACTAAATAAGCATTCGTGATCATCTATTTGGTCTCTAAATATCACTTGCAATTAAATGATTAACACATTTCAATTTCTCGACGGGACATTAACGCGCGTACACACATAAAACATGCTCCGATTTGAGCTCATGTGACATATAAATCAACAGCGTTATGGTAATGGGAATCTGTTTTGTATACGTTTGCCTTGCGAATGTATAGAAGCACAAACTAACACCAATTACATATTATTTTGTTTCATTATTTGCATGTCGACATAAAGAAAATTTGTTTCCTTCCGTGGTGCTGTCATAGAACATGCTCTGAACGGTAAAATGCTCGCGCTCATTTACAAATGCATTCGCAGAGTTAATCAAGCATTCTTTTCATAAAACGGTTTACTTCCAACGAACGTTTAGATACCGCAATTTTGTCATTATTATCTTGATATAACTTAATGTGGAAAGTAATTTTTACGTCAGTGCTTATGATTTGTTTTGTATTATAACGAGAGCATCAAATTTTCAACTCATGTTTGAACATACAAACTCAACGAATTATATTTTATTAAGGTGACCATTCGTCCTGATTTGGCCGGGACAGTTCCGAAAGTTTACCTTATATTCCGCGTTTTCCTAAATGCAATATTTCCCTGATTTTTAACTGAATTTTTGCAATTAATTGATAATAAATTTGCAACTATCCATCAAATATCTGAAAATAATATAAACCACAAATATGCTTATATCAAACAATACGATATGAACGAGAAAATTTCCGAATGCAGAATTCGAAAGTGTTAAAATAGCATCTCATAATAATTCATATCGAATTTTCATTTTCAATTTTACGAAAATTAGCAAAAATTACGATCATGAACTTTTCTACTGCCTGGCGCAAGTGTTAAATATTCTATTATGAGTTAAATATGAAGAAAAGTGAACAGAATTTTAAACAAACCTTAAAAAAGCTAAAAAACATATAGAATAGATACACAAATATAACATTCAATCGAATAATAAAATTCTATTAAAAGTCAGTAATTCTGATTTGAAACAAGATTTATTTAAAAAAATAGGTCTTATTTTTTTTTTCAAATATAGTATATTTGTCATTTTAAAACATATTTAAGTCAAGACTAGCCCCCCCATTCCGGATTACCATAATTTAACTACAAGTTGCCGTTCTGGTTTCGACCTGATAATATTATATACAAGATAAATTTGCAAAGTCTTAACAAAGTGAAAAAAGTAACTTTCATTGTGTTTTTTGTGAATTTAAAGTTTAAGTAATAATTGAACTCGTTCTTTGGATGACATAATTATGCAGAAGTGTTTGGATGAAAAGATAAAATATGAGAGTCTAGACTACTTTATTATGAATAACGAATAAAATGTAGTTGATTTGCGGGATACATAATGTTGCAGTGTGAATGTTAGCACTTCCAATAGCGCGCGGCCCTGAACGAAGCATGAGAAAAATATGAATACGATTGAAATCAGTTTGTAGCCTTTATAAAATTTGCTTTTAATTTAGTACATTTTTATCATTCGTACAATTTTCTGGAAACTATGATATCTTGTATCGCTCGAGCATGCGCTTCAAATATCTTCCATGCGGTTTTCGTTTCAATATACGAAGAGAAGGAAAATAGGATACACGATATCGGTGCTTGGCGTTTGGATAAGAAAGTAAAAAGAATTTGAACGAGCCGTCTGAAAATGTTTTTCGTGTTTGCATCGACTGTGAACTCCTTGGCATCGTATGCTTCGTTCATTCTTTGAACATTTATGTCATGTCACGGAGTACAACGGAGTATATCTCTCCAGCAGATAGCACAGTCCGCAGCGGTATATACGCATACAATTGCACAGTGCCGTTCATTAGTATTAGAGATGCACTTTTAAATCCAAGGCCACATTTTATATAAGTAAATGCAATTCTCTCGGCTGACTCGAGCTTAGAACGTTCGTTCGGATCGCTGGTTCGGACCTTTCAATCATTTCGCAACGGCTTACAGAACAAGGAACACCCCGCGTATGACTCCTTACGCCTCGCGACAATTCGATGCGAGGCGAAAAACGAACCGAATCCGGTCAAATTGAGCGTCTTTCGAGTCGGTAGAGTTGGTCGAGAAATTAGAAAAATATTTTGTTTCACTAGCAGCTATATTGAATTATCTTGCCGGCGATGGATTGAATTAGTAGAGGACGTGTAGTGAAGTGATAGAAGTGCGTTGTGATACGATCGCTATGAAAAAAGTTCTACTTTTGTGTGTTCGCTTTGGCGAGTCGTGTGTGATGTGCCATAGTTGAGTGAATTTGGCGAGCGCTCTAACACTGCCGCCCGCCGCTATATATACACGAAAGAATTTTATGTTCTGACATATGACTTAATTACTTTAAAGAAAAGCATGCAGTGAGTTCTGATTTTAAATCTCTATTTTAGCAATTGATACATAAATTTCGAAACAAATTTATCAAACTTTTTTTGGAAACTTTAAAGAATCTGTAGTTATATAATACCGTGGTACCCCGCCTTACGAGCTTCATTTGTCCCGTAACCACACTTGCATGTAAAGTTGCTCGTATCTCGAAGAATTTTTTCATATATAAATACATTGAAATGCCATTAATTCGTTCCTGTTCATTGTTCAATTTTGTTTATAAAAGAAATAAAACCTTATTGCCAAAATCAAAAACATATTCATGAATCATATTATGCAAAAACATAACAAATTACTAAATAAAAAATAATTAATTTATTATTATACCAATTTTTGCGTTCAAAATAACTGTCCAATAAGTATTGTTTTTTACTATATAAATTATATATAATTATAAATTTAATTTATTAACTTATATAGAGCAAAAATTGGTTAAGTATGATTCGTCAAACAACTCTCCACCAGTTGCATCTTTTTCGAGGTGATTTTTATATGCCAACATTTTAACTAGATCCCGCATTGCACAAGAATAATGGCACAATTTGTATTAATGAATTGAATTTTTCAATTTTAAATTACCTAAAATATTTGTATGCTAGTTAAATGCGACTTCACATACAAAAATCCTTGTTCAATTGACATAGGATGAACTTGTTACGTACCCCTATAAAGTTTACGTTACGCCTCTAACTCGCACGTATTACGAATTTTGCTCGTATGACGAAGCAAACTAGCCTTTCACATGCTGCACTTTATTTATTACTACTTAATCTTATGAATTAATATTATGTATATAATGAAGAATGAATATTTATTATGCAAGCAATTAGGTGCTTTTTATAACTATTAATAAAAAATAATTAAATTACCAAAATTCTAAAATATTCTAAACATAATATTATCTGAATACTATGTTTTCTACATGCTTGTCTATTCCGCAGTGTGACATTAATAACCCTTATTAAAAAATCAATAATTTGCATGCAGAATTATTATCGTGACATTTCGTGTGTTTAATGAATCCTATTGGGAACTAGTATCTTATCGTTTCGTCCATTACTGAACATAAAAATCTTAAACAAATTCTGCCCCTTGGATTAATATAACTTAACATATCAAAACAATTAATAAAATTAATAAAACTAATGAATTATATTGTGATTATTCTACTATATTATTACATTTTACATATTACACTTAATATGGAATCAAGTGATTGCGTAAAATGAAAACCATTTAATAATATAAATTTGAAAAATGTGTTGTAAAGCATTAATCGAAGAATTTTGAATTTCGCTCGTTGGAAAAATGGAGTTCGTATTAAATTTGTTTTGAATAGTCCATGCTATGCACGTTGCATTTTTTTGTATTAAATACAAAAGTGATTTGGTTCTGCTGTTTTCATTTTGAAGACAAAATTGCACATAGAGTGAAAAGTTGAAGTACAAAAATAAATCAGATCAAAACACAGAGTTTACAATTTCATAAAGCATTGTTAAAATAAATTAAAAAATAAATAAAATAGAGAATCAAACTTTAATGCAAAATCTTCGTTAGGATATAGATACTGGAAATAAATGCATAGATATTTGTATACCTGTCTAATCTAATAAATTTAGATGAAAATTGCAGTTGAAATGTGTTATTATAATAAAATATTCTAACAACTTTACGAATTAAAAAACGATACGTTCTGATAAATCTTTACTTTGCCTGAAGATAATCCACTTACTTACAATTTAACAGCTTTAAAATATGGATTTTATGCATTTAGGGCGTGGTATCATTATCGTCCGTCGAATAGTTTGATAAGAGCGTGGATAATTTGCAATGCACATACACATGTCGGTCATATTGCAGTATCAGTTCTCATCATATCAAACAGCACGTTTGTCTAAGAGTTTTCATTGCACTGTTTCCTACTCGCCGGTTAAAAAAAATCGAATAACCATGATAACTTTTTTGAAAACCTACGTTTAAATTCTCGATCTCGTTAATTATATGTTAAATTATTCAAAAATAACATAAAATCTATGCTTAGTGATAATTATTATGTGAAAAAATTTAAGTATTTAATAAATACATTTCAATTAAGGAAAACTTCTTTTCGCTCAGATCAAATCAGTTCATATTGTTGATACCGATCTACCGATTTTTTAAGCATTATTATCATGGAAAATCAATTTTAACAATTGAACAAAAATAATTAGAATAAAATCTATTATTCTTTACAATATTTATTTATGAAATCATGCCTGAGAAAAGCTTGCGATTGAAGGCGCTATAATTAAAAAACATTAATTTATAGTGAGTTTTGTATTAACGTGACGTTTGATTTGGCGCTTTGCAGGACTCGAGAGAGTAGCTGAAGAATTGATGGGTCGCAGGAAATGGAAGCTATATCAAGAAGTTATCACCCTGCAGAGACCGCCCTTACCTATAGCGCAGACAACGAGTGCGGGCAGCACGACGAGTTCGTGCGTCGCCGCGACGACGACCACGACAACAGCGGCCGCGGCCGGCTCGACTGTCACCAAGACCACAAATGCGACGAGTTGGCCGAACCGCGACGGAACGCCGACGGGACACACGGAGGGCGAAGCTGTCGAAAGCGCGGCTGCGGCCGCAGTCGTCGACGGCGATTCGACGCCCGATCCACAAGACACGAGCGAAACGGCCGCCGCCAACGGAGCAGCCGCAACAACTACCACATCTGTTGAATCGCTGTCCAGCACCGAGAACAATGTGGACGAATGTACTGAATCGCCTACGGACGAGGAACCAAAAACAACCCGTGACGGAACGGATGGAACGCCACCCGCCGCTTCCATGACGCCGATCAAATCCGAGCTCTCCACTCCCACAGCACCCGCCGCGCCAGCCACACCGGCACCACAAGCGGCCGACTGGACGCCTCAAGATAAATGCTACTTCTGCGTTGAAGGTCAATTGCTCAGGGTTGGGCCGGATGGCAGCTTAGTGGCCACCAAGTCAAACAATGACATGGACACCAACAACTATCTTCAAGCGGTACGTATCATAATGTAACTAAATTTTTTTAATAATTTTTGAAATTGAGTTCTGAACATATTTTCAATAATCAGTTGGCCATTTTTATAGTTAACGCGTTTTCAGATTTTTTATAATCTTCATGAACGTGAAATCAAATACTCATTGAATTTAGTTTTTTTTGCTATATATTTAAATAATTATCATGTGGTAAGCGTTCCCTGAAATTCAAACTTTAAAATTTTTTAAATACTCAGGAAATAAAACAGAAGTAAGTGTTGGATATTACAATGCAAATTCAATTATAATAATGGAAACCAGTTTCCACTATGACGCTTATCAATTCAAAACTGTCTATAATTCAGTTTTTGTGTTCACTTCAAAACATCAAGCGGAAAAACACGTTAAAAATAAAATTGCTTCTGAGCATGTCTTGTAAATCCGCACAACGAAGGTCATATCAGTCGGAGAGCGCAACTATAAACTTGTAACAGTTTCAAATATCACTACCATATTCGACGTTATAGGAAAATTCTATTAATTTATAATGAAAATGTCAGATAAAAAATGATATACGAATTATTAATATAAGATGCTAATTTAATTGTACTGATTTAATAAGCAGAAAAATTTTGTTAGTTTTTTTTTTCAATCAACTTATTATTATTAAACAAATTATTATTATACTTGACAGTAAGAGTTTTAGTTTGAACATGGTATACAAATAATTGATATTTATTGTTGCTTCTTGCCCATAGAGTCCCGCTGGCAGCGACAGCGACAGCAGTGACAGCACGTCTGAAATGGAAATGGCTCCACGGCTCGGCCTGCAGGAGGCGCTGCTTGCGCATGGTAACGTTGTCGTCGAACTGTTGCGACGTCAACACAAGCAACAACAACAGCAACAAAACCATCACCAGCAGCAAATGCAACAAGCGCCTCAATTGGGCTCGTTAGATAATGTAACGTCGCTCGCAGCTGCCGGCATTTCACCGTTTTACCCGCCTGGACTCCAGTTTCAAGCAGCGCAGTGGTACCAGTTACTTGCTGCGCAACAACGATATATCCTTCCTCTTGCCGAACAACAGACCAAACAACAGCAACAAGAATCGGGGACGACGCAGCAACAACAGCCCCCGAGCAGCGCAAGCAGTCCGGCGGCAGGCGCAACCGGATCATCGACGCCCGGAGTGGAACAACCGCTGGATCTCAGCGCGAAGAGCGGTAGCGGTTCCAGTACGCCTACGCCACAACCTATGCGATTGCCAAATTTTGATCCAAAGCATATATACAAGTAGGTTCTCCTATTATTTTTTACATTTTATGAATATTATGGCACGATATATTAATGCAGCAATTTGCATCAATTGCTAATTGCCAATAATAAGTTAGTAATTTTGTCACAAGCTACATTTTTTGGTACTGCTACAAATTAAAAAACCTCAATAGTCAGATACATCATGTATCTTACGTTAATTGTATAAGGGTTTCACTTTCAAGTTCTACTTTAATTTCAATACTTTGGTACTCTAGAGTCAAATTCTTCTTAACGCTAATCTTTTAAAAGTAAATAGATGAATGTAACATTTAATGAAGATGAGTATATGTGATACTGTCAATGCTGTGACACATTTAATGTCTTCATTTAAATTCTTTCGTAACATGTCATATTATATTTTTATATGCAAAATATTACTAGCTCTCTGATTTTATTAATTAACAATCATCAACTACATTTTATGGGCACAAATTATCACACGGACCTCATTGAACTTAAATAACATATCGAGATGCTGGGAATTATTTAAATATTCTAATTATATTTGTATGTGCATAATATAATTTTCCACAGTTTGATGATGATGTAAATTGCAATACGAAATTCTGCACTTAATGAACAAAATGATCTAATGCCTAATTATATTTCGCGCCATTCATATGCAGAAGGTATAGCGTTCAATGCTGGTTCATTATATCATATAGCGTTATTTCAAATTTTATCATGCTAATCACGGAAGTAATTATATTTAATAACCGTCTAAAATATATTGCATTGTTCAAAACTGCAGCACAGTATGATACTACCGAATATTTTCTTAAGCAAAATACAATTCAAAGCCGAGCATCGTGAAAATTCTGCTCAATCGTATATGTAGGTTGAGGCCAGATGACTTGCAACAAATCCACTTCATAAATCAATTAAAATTCACGGCTTTAACATCTCGTTTCACATATTACCGGTCTACACTACCAGGAAAGATCAATGACCAATAGCTTTTTTAAGTTAACTTATCTATTAATTTACTCATAAATCGTTATTTCTGTCAGTGATAAGACATTCTTCATATGTATGTATTCACTACACTTTTCATTTTAATTTAATATTTCTGCACATCTATGAAAACCGTGAATTGATTAATAGTTATTTTACTCATGCAATTAGAAATAATACATTAAAATATTTGACTAAAAAAACTGCAATTGAAATATCTCTCTATGCTAAATTAAATAATGTACAGTATACTTTTTTGGAAATTATCTAATGGTATGCGTAAGGGACGCGGACTTACTGATAATGAAACATAACTCAATCACAATTCAAATTAAAATGTTATTATACCATATCATATTACAAAATAATATTTTTTATAATCGGAAAAGTGGCTCTTTCTTAGGATTGTTGCCACTTAAATTGTTATAGTCATAGCCATGCGACCCGAAAAGAAAAATGGAACGCAGTTTGCGCATTATAATAAAAATCAAATATAAAATAAACGCTCTCGCTGCACTCGTGCATTATAAAATCTCCGGATAAATCACGTCGAACATTTTCCATTAACAAATAAAAAAAAATATCAGACCGACTTTATGCGGGAATATAATGCACTTACGCGGTCTTTACATAGACATTTTTTATTTAAATTCCATTTGATATCAGTGTTATTTCTTAAAGCTTTGTATACAGTACAATAGCATAAAGAATGAAAAATTACGATACAATTTTCGTATTGTTAGCGTTGCAATATTTTCTGAATGAACAGTGCGCTTGTTAATTTTAATGATGCGTTTTTTGTTACAAAATTACGTTGTATTAAAACATTTAATTTTTTAAACGCATTAAATGCAGTACTTTTAGAACAGTAATGCTTTTATGCACGTGCATTTACGTATTATCAATTCCGTCCTTGAGTTTCAAATCGTTGGGCCGTGAAGTTGAATGACATGATATTTTACCACATGGTTAATTATTAGCAGTTTATTTTAGATAATTTATTAACGAATAATAAAAATTGAATGCAAGATAACGTAGAGATAAACCGAGAGCCGTAATATATAATCTTAATACTATAGGGTAGAGTGGAGCTTAATAATACCTTAGGACCACGGGTAAAAAGGTCCATCACCATGATCTCAAAATTTTTTACCACATGGAATCATATAATAAAACCAGTTATAATAACAGATGGCCAATCTATGTATTTCATAAAAGCATTTAGTAATAATTTTGTAAGTTTTTTAGATAGTTATTAGAAACAACCCAATGGCCTAATACGTTTTCATTCGTCAAATTAATAGTTTTGCCTTGTATTGCACTAGAATCTTGAACTATATTTTCAGTAAAAATTAAAATATATGCCAAATAGAATTATCGAAAATGACACAATCAGTTTATCTTAATGGTCATAATAATTTCCACAGCAATATAACATAAATTAACGATATTATTTTCAACTAGAAGATAAACAATGTGAAATCAGCCCATCATCTTAATTCTTATGACGTCGCAACCAGAAGATAAATGGCTATGTATAAATATTCAAAACAAAAAAAAATTGTTTCGTTGGTAGTTTTTTTTTTGTTATTGAGCTCTTTGTTATTTTTAAGTTATCTCAATAGTTTTTTTCTATATAACTTCTATGAAAGCGTACATTGGGGTGGGGTCACTAAACAAAAGACTAACTAAACTTTTACACTGACAAAGGTATAAAATAAGAATATGGTAAATAAAAAAAATTGGTTAAGTTGAAAAAGCAATTTTACATAAGATAAATTAAATCGGTAGATCTTCCATTTCTGCTGAGGAATACTTTTCACGAAAATCAGATCGAGATTATATTCGGTGTAATCTTTGTAAAAATGTGCTAACGTAAGTGTCGCATAAGGATGAGGATAAATAATTTACCTATTATTTCGTAAAATCCCTTTAAAATTTAAATTAAGACATTATATCTGTTTGCCCGGTGGCTGTCGCTTTTTACCTTTTAAATTTTAGAAAAACAGTTAAAAAACATATTTCAGATACAGTATAATTACAGAAATTTAAATTGGACCTTTTTTCTCCGCCCTTCACTATATACACACATATATATATATATATATATATATATATATATTCATAATTAAATGGAATTATTATCCAACGTATAGGTAAATCTTGCCAAACAAAATGTGAAATAAAATGTGTGAAAGCATAATACTTTATGAAATTAACAACATTAATAGAAACCATTAGCTAGATTTAATTTTATTATGAACAAATAATTAGAATATGAAAATAAATAATATATATTTGATTATTATTTGTATTTGTTCTTTAAATTCGATTTTCTCTCGAATTAATTAAAATTTTGTATACTCAATTTGTATAAAAAGTCGAAGACATAATTATAGTTACTATCTCAGTAATTGGGTACAATAGTACAATTTACTTTATCTAAAATATTTGACTGCTTACTTAAAATTATTTAACTTCCAGTTCATTGCTTTCCACGTCATTTAAATTATTCTATTACGGCTATCAGTGCACATTTCATTTTATAACATGAGTTTATAACAAGATCCAATCAACAAGCGTGCCCATAACATGGAAACAAAAAAGAGCCTAATAATAAAAATTTCACCCAAGATTTCTCGAGCGAGTTATCGTAATTAAAATAATTGCCGTATTAATTTTCTTCAATTGCGTCCGTTGCATTGCGAAAGCGCGAAGTGCTCGTCCGCGATGATTTACGCGCGTCTTATAAACATCCCGCGGGCAAACGGCGAACTGCTATATTACCGTAAACCGCGATGCGATAGCGCAATCCCTGATAAAAATCATAGAACTGGCGGCTTTTATTCTTATTCTGCACAAACTGAATAAATCAAGTCATAATTACACAATCAGCAAGATGATCGTAGCGCTAGATAGGGACCTATCTTGGATACGATGAGGCAACTTGTACCTGTATCAGAACTAACGTTCTCTGATACTTCGTACCTCAATTTAGAAGCAAAGGCTTCTGTTGATAGTCCTCGAAGGCGTCCAAATCGCGGCCCGCGGATCGACTGAATTCCATAAGATGCGGTCCCTCGTTAATATTTTTCAAATTTTAAATTTTTAGTTTCTAGTATCCGAATTCGAATTTGTCAATCCTGTCATTTGCAAATAGAGAACTTAATTAGTAGGTGATATAAGCATTTGCTTAATCTACAAAAGTTAACATTTTAGTAAGGTGATTAGATTGGTCGGGACGATTTTCGCCTTGCGACTCGGTTTTTTCTAAAAGCAATAGTTGACTCGGTTTTAGGTGTGTTGTACCGGATTGCCCCGGATTTTTTAAAATGTTTTGATTGCCAAATTTTTTTTAAAAATATTTTAACTAGAAAATTTGAACCGAAAAAATGTGCATAGAAATTTTATCTCAAATCTCACAATTCTACTACCTTCTTGAAATACGTAACAAAAGTATTTTCTTTACATTGTCAGTTTTTGTGCTGGCGTGAGCTCTGTTTCTTAGATTACAAGACCTTAATAATTTTTAACTAATACGTTATTTTAATTTTTTTTAAGATTTATTGTTATTGTTTAGTTAGATTCAACAGTTTTTTTTTATATAACCTCTCTAAGAGCTTACACCTGGAAAGGGTAAAAAGGACCTGAATCTTTACCCTGGCAAGGTGTAAAAATAAACAATAGCAAGTGAAAAAGTAAATTATTTGAAAAAAGCAATGTTACAAGAGATAAATTAAATTTAGTTAATCCAACTCTGTTGATGAATATTTCTGACAAAATAACAGATCAAGGTTATTTACAGTGACATCTCTGTAAAGAATGAACTCAGGAAATTATATTTTGCATTGTTGTAATTTATAAGTAATGTATTTGTTATTTCATAAAATTCTTTAAAATTAAGTAATACATTAGACTTATTTGCTTTTGGCCGTCCCAATTTAACCCGCCTATGGGGTAAAAAGGATCAGGTGAAAAAATTTTGAAAAAACAGCAGAAAAACACATTTCAAGAACGATGAA